CCGCCGGCCGCGCCGTTCTCAAGCCCGCCCGCCGCCACTCACTCAAGCCCGCCTCCGCTCACTCTAGGCCGCCGGCCTACGCTCACTCTAGCCCGCCGTGTGTGACGCTGTGTTTCGTTGTGAAAGCGAAAATACTTTGTTTGGCCTTCCAGAAGAGGACACGACTAGAAATCAGTGGTTAAGTTGTATTTACAACACTCTTCTAGAACAGTTCAACCCAAATATTCAGATGTGTCCAGCGCATTTTATGGAGGACCGTTTCCTGATCCTGGAAGAGTAGACTACAATGCCAGCTGTTCTGACTCAAAGACTGTAAGTAATGTTCTTTTTAGCAACATCATATGACCCCTTTAAGAATGATTAATGTAAGAATGGTTTTACAAACATTGAACATAAAGGTTTTATGAATAAATTAAGCAATTTATCCGATAATTTTCAAAAAATATTACATTAGTATGGTTTTTACATAAAGTTTTTATGAATAAACTACAAATCAAGTATCAATTTATTTTTAAAAAATGTTTAAAAGTGTAAAAATTTAGAGGTTTTACAAACATTGTACATGATTTTTAATTAAATTGCAAAATTACAAATAATACAAAAAATTTAAAATACAAATTTAAGAATAAATTATTCAATTTATGTGTTATTTTACAAAAAAAAAGTGTCACTTTGCAAAATCTTTACTTTTTTGTTTTCTGAATAAAGTGTGCCATTTATGATGTGTAGGTGTTTGTTTTTTTTGCTTGCACAAGAAAGGCAAATCATTTGAAGTGTTCAGGTCAATAAAAATACCTAAATCTTTTTCCACAGACATGTTTGGAATTGGAACGCTATCTGCAGACGGAACCCAAACGGCTGTCTGACCTTTTCGATGAGGAACTGGACGGTCTTCTTACCCCGTCCTTCATAAAGGAAGATGCAGATGAAGACCTGTTAGACCCCCTCCTTCCCAGCCTCAACAACCCCCCCAGTCCTCCTCCTCACCTCACCCCACACAAAGAAACCCTCTCCTCCACTTCCTCCACTTTGATCTCTCCAGACATCACCTTAGGGGTCAACGCAGCCCAGCTGAATGCCGTCACCTCCTTAACACCACCCTCGTCTCCAGAACTAGGCCGTCACTTAGTCAAACCCACACACACCCTCAGTGCCTCGCCCGACGGGACCCTCACGCTCAAGCTAGTGGCCCGAAAGGTGGGCTTGAGCTCTGCCAAGCTTGTGGCAGCCCACCCGGTGCCACTTTCTCCCCAGCATGGCAGCAGTGGTGCACAGAGCGACGGGGAACAGGGTGGCACCTGCACAATGGGAGCCGGCGAGATGGCAGAGAACAAGAAGAGGGTCCATCGCTGCCAGTTCAATGGGTGTCGGAAGGTCTACACCAAGAGTTCACATCTGAAGGCGCATCAGAGGACACACACAGGTAAGCATGCATATTTTTAGAATTATTTGCAGGGATTATTCTGCTGATTTTTGCATTTTTCAGCGACTCTTCCTGCAGATTACAAAGTTACACCAGTATGTGGCAAGTGACTGTCTTTTAATGTATGAGTCAATGAATCATTCACTTAACTGACTCATTTAAAAACACTGATTTGTTTAGGAACAAAAATATTAACTGTATTTATGAATGAGTCACTGAATCATTTATAGAACTGATTTGTTCTAAAACACTGACTTTTGTTTTAGAACAGTGACTTTCATTATGAGTGAGTCACTGAAGTACTTGTAGAATTATTTTTTATTCTAAAACACTGATTCATTCAGGAGCAATACAAGTTACTGTATTTGAGTGAGTGACTGAATCATTCATTCAACCAATATTCAATATTTTTTTTTTATTTTATGTTTGTGTGTATATATAGTATGGGTTGAATGAATGAGTCATGAATAAATAAGTGAATCATAAATACAGTCAATGTGTGATGAGTGGGGCGGGGCCGAGAGCCGTGGGAACAGAGCGAGGCCAGTGGAGTAAGTGATCATGCACGACACCTGCGCCACTCACTGGTCTCGAGTCCCACGGAGGAGCTCCGGAAGGATAAAAGGAGGAGTGACGAGAGAGGACCAGGCCTGGATTTTATTTTGTGTTTTGGTTCTGTTTATGTGCGGCAGTCGTCC